TAAAATTTTAAAAATAATTGTAATTCTTGTTTAACGTACACATAGAAACAGTCACATGCGCATTCTAACTAAACAGCAGTTCAATTTCATATACGCATACGCATGCATCCTTCACGCAGTGACGTAACGCCTATGCGCTCTTGTGCGGGACCCCAGACCCCTAGGGGTCGATTAGGCCTCCTACCCAAAGGGTCCTCGATCTAGCACCTTGAGCCAAAAAGGCTTTGTTGATACATAATAGCATACTAATGTTAATTCATTTTCTTGTTTGTATACTTGGTTAGCCTATACATGGGTTTTTAATCGTTTGTAATTTTAGTTTGTCAACATGTCATGAATCAGAAAACCCACGGCAAAAGGGCATAACTGACATTTTGAGCGCCATGGGGGGGGGGGGGCAGCGTAGTGTATACAGTATTTTGATGAGGATGTATATTCTTGCAAAAATCTTACAATACTACCATCTTCAATCTAGGTTTTCCTCTCTCAATGAGTTACACTGTGGCTTCATTTATTGTTTCAATAAAGTATTCGATAATGTCAAATATGCGATAAGACATTTTAAGATTAAGTTAATACACATTTTCATTTTTTACATTAAAATTTCGACTTCAGCCTCAATCTTAGCACATATTTACTGTTGAATGTTATTATAAAGTTCGGGATCACAATATTTTGTTTAAAAATGTTTAGCAATTTTGTCATTAACTCTGCTCCTTAGTTAACTCCTTAGAAATTTAATGAATTGAATTTGCTATATAAATATTTGAATAATATAATAATTAAATAGGTTATTATGTTACAACCACAATAACCTTTAAATAAATCTAAATTTTTGGTACATTGTTGTTTATGCTCTGTATTTTGAAAAACTTTATGAGATATTCTATGACTGTTTATCATTAAGCCATTTTATGCAAATTAGTTCTAACTGTCAGATATGCTATAAATCCAAAAACCTTTGAAAAAAAGTAACACTTTTCTATATTCTGTGTACTATAATACCTTAAACAGGTGCATTTAACGTCCATTCATGAACAAATTGTTATTGTCTTTCAAGTTTTAACGTAAATTAATATTACAATCAAAATTACTTTAAGCAACTGCAATTAACATGGAAAAAAAAATCCTTTATTAACAAGTTTGAAAAATCACTTCATATATGCACGTCATATTTAAAAAGTATAAGTTAGATGAGACTTTTTTGATGTAGTTTTGTGAACTTTCCACCCACAAATATTGGTTTAAAAAAAAATTAAAAATATATTTTTGGCTAATTAGCACTGCACTGCCACGATCATAATAGAAATTTCAGAATTTTTTTTTTTTTAATTTTAAATTTGAAATCTCCAAAGATACCTATATTTCTTCCTAATTATATAAATTTGAAGCATTTAAATCATCCCATTTTACAATCTCCAATAAAATACATTTTTATTTTCTCCTTTGTTTAGATATTTTTGGAAAAACTATTTGCTAAATAGGACATATTTATTTTTATTCCACGGCCTCCTCTGATCTCTAAACAAATATGTAAACAAAACAAGGATTAAAAAAAGTCTCAACTAACTGCTTGTCCATTGCCCTGTGGGTCTTGTGTTTCATTTTGTCAAGTAGAAGCGTATAGCTTCCATGCCAAAAAGAAAACATTATTAGATTTAGCACTATCAATAAGATCATAAGATTTAATAGCAGATGCAGATAGCGCTACAATATTGCAAATTTGGCACCTATTAGCGTAAACTAAAATAGCGCCAATCAGTAAATTACATAACAACTAATTTAAAAGTAATATTACTTGTGGGTATCGTCTCGTACGTACATTTCTTTACAAAAAAGTGATTTAACCACGACAGTACGTGTCGGTGATGTACCGACATATAGACCTACACTCCGGAAGTTTTAAAATGCTAATTTTTATAACTTATAATTCGAAAATTAAGGTAAACTTTACAATATATGGTAAATAGATTAATTAGTATTAGTGCCTTTCCAAAATAAAACGGGATGATGCAATATAAGTTACGGAAATAGCGATTTTAAAGAGGTACTACAAAACTCAGTGCACTAGAATACAACAACATGGCCGATTAAGGTTTGTTTGGCCCCAGCGAAATAGGTAGCTAGGCAACGTGACGTATGACTTTTTCTCCTTATAGTCTTCTTGCAATATTTTTATATATTAAATCACCAGAAATGTTAGTTTACATTAGTTCACTAAATGACGCAGAGATATGTAATTTTGACGAGGTACATTTTCTTGGTATGTGTTTAAGGCAGAGTAGGGCAGGTGATCCTTCAATTCCTCTGGTTCTACTGTGTGAAGCATAGGAAGTTCATTGATATCCACAGCGAAGGCATGAATATGTGTATTAAATTCTTTAGTTGTGCATGTGCTAACAACAAACTGTACAACTCCTTGATCAAAAACTAAAATTGATATGTTTCCAAGTAACAATTAAACTCATAAGCACTGCACCATGGCCTACAACAAAATTGAAATTTGTTTTGATTTTGCTTAATACATACTCTTGGTCTGGTCCACTTTGGGTAGCTGCCACTTGAACTTGTACACATACTTGTTGCCTTTCGTAGTGCCGGAGTACCTATTTGCCTGTCAGTAAAATCAGATTGATCAGATTGCTGGGCAAGTCCTTGTGTATTTTCCCCTGTACCTTTGTCTTCTCTGACGGTGAGTAATGATAGGTGGATTTCAAAAGAGAGGCTCAATGTTAGGATCTTGTTTTCTAAGGAATTAAGCTTAGGGCTATGATCTAAAATTTTTGAATTCAATACCTACGGCAAAGAATAAATAGTTATCTTATGGCCGCCAGCCCTATTGTTGAAAAGCGCAGGAAAGCTTTATGTAGTTTGTTTTCCCCATTTATTTAGTACATCATATGGCTATAGTTGTTACACCATTAGTTTTAATGAACCACCTTAAAATACAAGACTTAAAAATTGGATCGCAAGGTTAAATCAAAATAGGTGGTGTAATCTAACTATTCATGCAGTACAACGGGTACGGTAGTCATGTTATGTTGTATAATGTCAGTATGAAATTGGTATTATTTAATAAACTACTGTACTAAAATACAATATATTAATTTTTCAAGCAATATTATATTATTGTAAGCACCCATATACACAGTTTTACTCAAGCCATGTCAAAACCTTCATGACCATTTTGCAATGCCATTCCATACATTCTTTAAATACTCCTTAGTAGAATATCCTGCAGGCAAGAAAAGAGTAGTGCACACTGAAGACTGGCAGTACTTTGCCTTCTTTTTGCGCCAGATATGTCCTTTGTCATCTTGACAACCTCTTCCCATCATTTTCTTCAAAACCTCCACATCCTTGAATTCAATCTTGGTATCTACTGCCATGCAAAGAATTTACTAATTGTTCATAAGCAGGTCCTTCTGCCACACCAAATGTCTTAAAGGGGTTTGGGTTTGCATCGGAACGCTTTGGAATGTACCTATATCAGTTTTTCACGTAATTCTGACGATGTCAACACAATTGGTAAAAAAATCAACATTCACCACCATTAACTCCATCTTCCTGTACAAATTCCACACATAGTTTATTCACCATTAAGCTGTCACCAACATTCTTTTCTGAGCTGATGTCTTCTTGTAAAATAGTAGACCATCTCTCTATACATTAGAACGTCAAATTGTTAAATGTTTTAACTTGTCAGTACCGGTACGCCGTTTTCTGAATGAGTTGATCAAAGTCTTCTTCGAAATATCTGATTTGTTGGTGAGATACATGGAATTCTCGCGAAACATGAACCTAATTTCAAATATTGTCCTTATACTTCTTCGATTTTTTAAGCGTACCATTCCGCTTCATGATTATGGCGAGGATGATTATTATAATAACCAAAGCCTATAATTAGCGCAGCTCGACTTTACTCTGTGCCAAAACCAGACTCGCGATTTTGAAAGTCCATACCTGTATGGGTAAACTGTATAGGCCTATGTAAAACTGAAGAGTGCTGTCAATGTTTGGTCACAGACCGGGGACACAGATTGTGAATAAGTAGAATCGAGATCTATCTTTTTGGCAATAATAATTATTTTCATGTTAGGTTAATTCACAGACAATTTTTAACGCTTTTCAGAACTTTGCTCATAACAATAACAAACGATTATTTTTTTCTGTCCTCGGGATCACGTGAGTAGCTTCACGAACATGACACAAAACGCACGTGGTTGATGAGGATGACGTTCACAGAAAGAATGATACCGCTATACAGTGTTATGATTTTAGAATATAAACTTGTTAAATTAATGTGCTATACAAGCTTGTAATAGGCCAATATATTTTTTCTCTACTGGAATTCTGTCAAACTGCCCATGCGTAAGCTTTGTATCACGTGGTATTTCCCTATGTTTACAACTTGGTTTGTGATGATGCTTATGCTTCGCACGGAGGCTCTGTGAGTAATAATTAGTTAGGCATGGAGACCTTATAATATAAAAAAAATTTATTCAAAAACAATAGTTCAACTGAATACTATTTACTCTACAGTTTCCTTAACAATATATTTCTCAATGGTGTGTTTTCGCGCAATCAGTTCGAATGAATGTTGTGGTTAGATAAGATGTCGACCGCAATCAGAGTTGGGTCGGCCCAGGGCGGCATTGCGGGAACCGAGCCGACTCAAAAGTCGGACTAACTTTAGGTCGGTTCAGGACCGGCTTAACATTTATTTGATTGTTCACACTTAAAAATTGCCGACCCTGGACCAGCCCTGAGGCGGCCCTGGGCCGACATAACTCTCGAGTGTGATTGGGCTCTAAGTGTCCTTGAAGATGACCTATTTTTTAAGATATTACTGACCTGACACAGTCAGAGCGAAAAGAAATATATCTTTAAAAAGGCGACACTTTATTAAGGGATCATTCCATTAAGGGGCCAGTTTTTGCCCACCCAAATGATGGTTCCCCGAGTTTTCATTGTATGAATTTTACTTACCAGAATATCTTGTGCCTCATTAGATGTTAATTTATCCTCTAGTTCGAGGACCTCTTCCATGTTTGTTATTGGGAAACTGCCGCTAGTAAGCATCTGTAAATGTTCATTGCTTTTATCGGTGAATGCCTGGAAAAGAGCCATCATATTGGTCTGCCTTTCAATTATTTCTTGTACATTCACTTTTATTTCTTCAATTTGGGTGATTAAATTATTCTCCCATGCTGTAAAAGGAAATTAATATTCTTAACTGATAAAAACTCTGTCCTTAATCAAGATTTAAAGATGCATTGTCCCATGCTAAATACCAAAAAAAAAAAAATCATAAAAATATTTTTTGAAATTAAATTGCCTATTTTGAAGTAACATAAAAGCTTTGACATAGAAATTAGTCACATGTATTTTAAAAATGTTTATCCATCAGTTTACAGCGCAAAATGATAGAAACATTTCCATTCAACCGGAAGTGTTTTATTATTTTCATTATACTTTACTGGTTCAAAAATCAGGGTACACATTTATTTTAATTCAGTAATTTCTATGCAAAAGTTAATAATGTTTATGTTATTGCAAAATGAGGAAGTTGATTTCAAAATTATTTTTTACGATTTTTAGACATTAGCAAGGGACAATAATATCTTTAAAGACAATCACAAGTTGGTTGTTTAAAATTTTCTTTTTTAAATATGTTTAAGCAAATCATTGCCAAGCCTCAAGGGCTAGGGGTTGGAGCTTATCCCCAAATGAGAGTGATGGTCCCCAGTCCACCGCAGGTTACTCCAAGCAATTTGCTAGCACACTATGATACAGCTGGGAGACTAAAGCAATGTGGATAAAGTGCCTTGCTTTTGATATGTTTACACACATTGATGTTTTAATTTAATGAATTTATAATGCTATGTGCATTATTAATGATTCTGGTACAATTTTGAGGGTTTTTATAATTTCGAAGATTTTATGAACTTCAACCATCACTATGTGGAATGACTTTTCGGAGCATATCAAGTAAACTCCCACTTACTTTTTTTTCAGAGGTCTGTGTTTTTCTTCTTTTCTTAGTGTTGGCATGTGTACATATGTGTTTGTAAAGCAAAGAGAAACTTCAACATTTAACATTTACATTTATTAGAAATTAAAAATACGCTTGAGCCTATATTATTATTGAATACAAAATATATGATACACAGCAAGTCTACATGAATGATTCATTTCTGGCAATGATTTTGGCCGCAGCGGTGGTGTTGGAGATCTCAGCGTGAACTTCGCTGGTGTCTCTGAGAATTCAGATTCTTCTGATTCATCCGATTCATCACTTTCGAACCTTGCAGGGAGCCTAGTCAGTATAAATAAGCCAAAATTAAACTCTCTTTTAAAATAAAGGTGCTCAATGTGAATGACCATACATAGATAGAAATCTTTCTTTATTCTAAATACTTAATCAATTTTACATGTTCTTCCTTAAGGTCCAGTAAACACTTAAATGTTTCAAATATCAAATAATATTAAGAAATCATATAAAATCACTTATGAAAATCGGTGTAGACAAGAAGCAAGAAAAAAAAAGTTTTATATTAATTCAAATTTTTGAAGAAATGCAATGTTAAATAATTTAATTAACTTCGAGTATCTGGTGAAAGATTGTTCCACAGTTTAACTGAGCGGTATTTATTATTTTGTGTGTGTGTGTGTGTGTGTGAAACTGATGTAGTTTTGATTTGCTTTTTGTGTTTATCAGTGTGATAATTATCCATTAGCTCATAAAAATTATTTATGTACTCAGGAACTGTGCCTGTTAATATTTAAAGTTCATTATAAGCCACCCATGAAATTTGGAAAAAAATTCTCCGAGGTCGGCAGCCTTTATAGTATAAACGCTCGACCTTAATACATCGTCATCTACAGATTGTGATTTTGTTATTTTCTCTGTTAAATCAATATATTGCTGGTGAAAGAATTGTCGTACTTGTATTACTTTAATAGTGTAGTATAATACATATGTTTTACATGAGAAAATCACCGAATAAATTTCGTTTTAGCGTTCGTTTTATCGTTGTCTTTGGCATGGGAAATATCACTTTCGTAAAAGCTACGATGATATCATCACAGGCTGCTTCAAAACTGCCCATGCATGTCCATGCGCATGGCTAGTAGAATGATCTATCAGGGATTTTTCACACATGTTGTAACAGTAGGTACTTGTCATGCGCCGGCATGGAAATTTATTTGTTGGGACCGCCCTTTTTTCCCGCCCTTCTTGTGGCGATTGCAACCTCACAGCCCGTCACATAACGTTCCACGTCGCTAGCCACTCCGTACCAGTAATATCTTTGTTTAAGGCATTTTTTTTTTGACGCATTGATGGCCAGCGGATGGTAAATCATTGTAGGTATGCAATGCAGTTGCAACCATGTCATGTGGTAAAACTAGCAGGTCATCTTCTCCCTGCTTGTCTTTAATGAATAACACCCCATCTCTTACCCGCATTCTATCCTTACTCAACCAATAATGTTTGGTCGCAGGGCTAGATGCGAATAGGTCGTTGGGGGTAGGAGCGACGCCAGCCTGCAAATAGAGCAGTGTTGTAGCTAGGTCACTATCCTGATTTTGGGCTTGGATTTCCTGTGGAGAGAATCCCCAGCGGTGCTGTTTTAATTGTCCCACTGTAACCTGATTAGTAATTTACAAATATGGGTGGGTCAGGCTGTTGAGGAACGGGGGTTGATATTAGAGGAATAACGTCATCTACAGTACATTCTCCTTAAAAGATGCTCACTGTTGGTGGGCCCGTTGACAATACTTACATCCCCCACATGGTAACTCCGACAACTCAACTCCATACTTATAATGATTCGCCACCTCCGGCGCACGTGATAAAGCATCAACATTTACATCCTTTTTACCTGGTCGATGTTCGACTATCATCACGTATAGGCTAAGCTCCTCAATCAAACGAGCCAACTGGCCCTGTGGTTCCTTGAACCGCAAGAGCCAGGTTAGACTACTGTGGTCTGTTCGCACCATAAATGGCTTGCCCAGCAAGTAATGCCGAAATAGGCGGGTAAACTTTACGATAGCTAGCTGCTCCTTTCTAGTAGTACAGTAATGCCGCTGTTCGGCGGAGAGAACGAGACTAGCATACGCTATCACTCGTTCCTGCCCATTCTGAATTTGGAAAAGCTCCCCTCCTATCGCCTGGTCATAGGCATCTGTATCTAAAACAAACCTATCCTGGGGGTTCGGAAGGGACAGAACGGGTGGATGTGTAAGTTTTTCTTTTAGAGTGTTGAAAGCCTGTAATAGTGGTATATCCCAACGGAAATGCCCCTTTTTAGCTATGGTGTACAGGGGCCTAGTGATCTCAGCAAAGTGTGGGATAAACGCTCTGTGGTAGTTCGCCAACCCTAAGAATCGTTGCAAATCCTTGTAGTTGATTGGCGTAGGCCAATTATTAATAGCGCTGACGTCAGTATTTGACATCACCACAGTGTTACAAGACACGATTCTACCCAAAAATTTAGTCTGGAGGACAGATTTCTCATCCTCCTGCCCGAAATGCGTCTCCACCCACAGCGTAAAATGTCTGTAGATAGGAAGCAGCTTTACCACTTAAACTAAGGTAGAACCCCTCTTTCTTTTCTCGGGCTGACCACTCGTTCATGCGAGCATATGCCTCGAATCAGTCCTTAAAGACATACCAGTCATCCTGACCTGAATACTCTAGATTCTTCATGACCCGAAACAGTTGACGCTCAAGGCCATAACAACGACGCCGGTCATGTGGCACATTCCTTAAAGAATGGCGTTCATGCCCCCAGGCGTCGCAGGGTACATAATACCAAGCTTTCGTTTGAGGACAGTGAGCGCACAGTACGGAGGAACCAACAGACCGTGACCGAACTCGCAACCAAGCTCCCGTCCTGTTCAGAAGCTGTTTCGTTTCCGTTTACGCGACAGGGGAATATGCGTGCGAACGCGCGCCCTCACTTTAGTTACCAAAACATGGCGAACTTACCAGAGTTCAAGAGACACTTTGTCGCTGCGTATGTTTCTGACATTCTAGACACTCCAACCAATCCTGATTTCCAGTATAAAAATGACGATCATTTCAACTTGGACAAATTCAACGATGATGAATGCAACAGCTATTTCAGGTAGGAAAACTGTAGGCCTAACAAGGCTAGCCCCCCCCCCCCCCCCCCCCCCCCCCCCCAGCTCTAGGGCTAGGCCTAAACTAATTATGCTAAGCATAGGCTAAACTAAGCCTGCTGTATTAATTATTAATAGCCTAAACCTATTCCAAGCCCTTTGTCTGAAAGTGTTCGTGATACGCCTATAGAGCAAATATTATATAGGATTTCATTCACTATAGTACAGTACCTGTACATAGTATTGGAATTAGGGTCCACATGAGCCTCTCCAGCTTAGGCCTAGCTAGTTAATGAATTTAAAAATTGTCTTTAATTTCATAATTTTTTAATTCACTAAAGATTACTTTTGAGTTGATACACTAGCCTATTTTTTACAATATATAGTGCTTTGAAGCTTAACACTTTAGGCCCTATTTACTTAGTACTGCTTTGCCTACATATAAATGGTCCAATTGATTACTTACTGCACACCTAATTTAGTGTAATACGGTATATTCTTTCCACAGATTCAAGAAAGATGACATCTATCGCCTAAAGCGTGCTTTGGGGGTGCCGCAGACTGTAAGACTGGAAAATCAGTCAAGAGTAGATGGCCTTGAGGCCTTGTGCATCACTCTCCAGAGATATGCGTATCCGTGTAGGTACGGAGACCTGATAAAGAACTACGGGCGTTCTGTACCTCAGCTCTGCTTGACTTTCAAGTGGATGACGAACTTCATCTATGACAGTCATAAGTACATCATCTCATCATTAAATCAGCCCTGGTTAACGCCAAATAGCCTGAAGACCTTAGCTGATGTAATATATAGAAAGGGTGCCGCTCTGATCAACTGTTGGGGCTTTGTAGATGGAACTGTTCGGCCAATATGTAGACCGAATCAGCATCAACAAGTTATGTATAATGGACATAAAAGGATTCACGCCCTGAAGTTTCAGTCAGTGACTGCCCCCAATGGCCTCATAGCGCACCTCTACGGGCCAATTGAAGGGAGGAGACATGATGCATTCCTTCTGCGCGAATCAGGGCTTTTAACTGAGCTGGAGGCCCGATCACATGATGCAGATTGGAACATTTTGTGTGTATTTGGCGATCCTGCCTACCCATTGCGCCCACATCTACAAACACCTTTTCTTTCAGTGCGAATCACTCAAGAGCAGGAGGCATTTAATGCGGCGATGTCCAAAGTTCGCATTAGCGTTGAATGGTTGTTTGGGGAAATCATAAACCTCTTCAAGTTCACCGACTACAAAAAGTCTCAGAAGGTGCACCTGAGCGCTTGTGGGAAGATGTACATTGCCTACTTCGAACTTGAACCTCCCTCCTTGGAAGACTACTTTCAAGTAGTGTAGATTTTTCTTTTCCATTAAATTGGAAACATGTATTTGACTATTTTTGTTAAAGGCGCTCTATTTAAAATGAGTTAATTTTCATAAACACACTTGTTATGTGTCTTTGATGTATTTCAGTTATCCCAGAGGTGGTATATGCTTATACTCAGGTTCAGAGGTACGACCGATTGGATGAATGGTTGTTTACATTTTATTAGTTTTCTAATTTTGGAATATATTTTGGGCTTTTGAATTACTGTTTTAAGTGGATGTGCATTACCTATCTGAATCACTGAATTTTCCCAAGTTGAAATATTTTATTATTCTCATACTGGAGATCAGTATTGGTTTGGGCATTTGTGTCATCCCTTAAAATATCAGAAACATGCAGCGTCTCTCTTCTAGAGGCTTTTTAAAAATTCCATGTACGGTATGTAACTTAGTATGAAATAAATGTTTTATACATTATTTGAACATCAATAAAAATCATGTAAATGTTTATATGTTGTCCACACTGATTGATATTTAGTGTATTCTAGTTAAAAATATCCAATACCAAATCACCTATGGTTTAAAGTTTATTTTCTTCAGCAGCCATGGTATAGCAATATAGCCATGATATTTTGGTATTTACAAGTTATTAATAACAAATATTAAAGAGCCCAAAGAATTCTCTCAAATAACAGGAGTCCATGGCCCACTATCACGCTGGAGAGTTTGAGGTTAGAGTATCAATAAGACAAAGGTTACTCATATTTTATTTTATTTTAAATATTTATATTTTTAAACAAATAAAGCCTAAATAAATATACTGGCAGAAATTCATGAACACTTAATATAAAAAATTTAACAAGGCTAGAACTTGAAAGCAATAATATTGCACTATTTAACATGAAATGCAATGCAGTAGTCATTAAAACGTTAATTGACAAAAACCAAACCTGAAAAATAATCAACAAAACATATTCAATAAGGTACTCTATTCGATTACCTTATTACCATGGAGGAAATATTTCCTCCATCTTATTAAAAAGTTAAACATTAAAAGAGAAGAACATAACTGTGTAATAGAGTACTCAAACAGAGTATATGCATATTTAATTCTTCAAAGACTTTAACAACGCCATCATCATCTGATTTTGTTGCTGTTGGAGTATTTGCTGTTGTACAGTTGTTGTTGTTGTTGTTGGAGCTGCTGCTGCTGCAGAGCTTCATACCTCCTATCTCTTTCTCTATCTTCTGCCCTTCTTCTTTCTTCTTCCTCCCTTTTCCTCTCTATTTCTTCCCTTCGGAGTTGCCCGTCAAGCTCCATCTTTTTCTGAATGAGGCTGATTGTATCATTCCTGCTGATTGTATCATTCCCACTGTTCCTCCTTCTGGCCGTTGTGCTGCTTCCATCCTTATGTCTAAAAAGAAAGAACAAATGAAAAAATGTAAATAAACCAATGAGCTAAATTTTGTCTATTAAAGAAAGAAAAGATAGTTTTTTTGTTTTTTTTACCAGGAGGTGGGAAATTTCCAATAGGGAGGGAGATTATAGGAATCTTTATGAGCATTACAATTCAGGAATAACAACTTAATATTTGAAATGTCTTCCATGGAGTTCACAATTCAACAGCTGACCTTAATCACCGCAAAATGTCCAGCAGTCCATGCACACTTTCTTGGACCTTCCACGGATTTGGCCTTAAATGATGGACATTGTGAAATCCAATGCTGCTCTTAACAATGAGGACATACCGGCCTTGGCTTTTTGTCCTTTGTTGTAGGATCGGATACTTGAGCGCTGAATGAAGAATGAATGCGATTGCTTCTCTTTTGGTCGGTCACTTTATGGGAAGTCAGATTGTCTTTACCTTAGATGGGATCGTTTAGCTTCAAAGCCTCTAACTGAACAAAGTCTACCATATCACTGAATCCTGTTCTCTTAGCTTCTGAACAACGTTCCTCCATCTATCATGCATGTAAAAGGGTAACTTTTGCATACTATGCTTGAGATTTTCTGAGAATTCTAACACACCGAGACTACCAACACAGTTTGTAGCAGCTTTACACTCTGTAAGGTATACTGAAAACTCGTCTAGAGCCTTTGGATCATTGGGTCGAATTGGTACCCATGACATCACCTTTTTCACATATGAATTAACAATTACTTCGGGATCCCCATAACGTCTGGTTAGCTCCTTGATAGCTGCTAGATACCCAACATCTGCATCCAGATATGAAAATCCGTTTAAAATTTTGTGGGTTTCGCCAGTTGTGTACTGCTCCAGGTATGCGATTCGCCCATCATTTTTGCAAAGCCATTCTATTTTTTACTTAAATTGCCGTATGAACTTATTAATTAATTATTATTAATCTCCAGTTTTGGTTTTTGTATCTCTACAAGTACGTCACAGAGATTCTTTTCTGACTTCTGATTAAAGGATTCTTCACCTGTCGGCTTGCTGTTTACAATAATGGGTACTACACTGTCTATCACAGATTCTTGTCCTTGTTCTTTTACACTCTCGTGTTCCTCTTGCACACTGTCTTCATCTAAACACTGGCTGTCGTCCTCTTCACTTTATCTTCTCTATCTCTTCCAGCATTTACCTTGCTAGCTTTACTTCCTTTAGATGATCCCTTTGATTTTGATTTGCAACTCAAGGCATCCCCTAATTCCTCGGGTCTTGATATGAACCAGTTTGAAATCCACACATCCTTCTCCTCGAACCACTCAAGTAGTGCACAATATTCATCGTTGGCCTTAAGAAAGTGTTCATATCCGCTCATCCATGTGGTGTAGACATGCCTGCCCTCTTTTATTGTCGGATTTCCTCCTATTGAATACATCATAGTCTCAATCAAAGACCTGACATTCCGCCAAGCTTCACCAAGTGCCTTATATTTGATTTCAAGAGCATATTCGTGCCCTTTGGGTGTTGACTGTTGTATTTGTCACTCTTAGATTGACGTAAAAGAGGAATGATAAGACGTAGGTAAACTTTCAAGATAACCATTTAATGCCAAAAAAACAGCAAGCGCTCAACAGGCAGCAAAACATCGAACCTTGCGGTTCGCTAAACATCGAACCTTGTGGTTCGGACACAACATCCCTCCCCCTTAACTTTTAACTGTCCAAACTTTGTAATTCATGTATAACAGTGTTCTATAGATCAAGTCTAGTAGGTGGTTTAATTTTCCTTAAGGGATAACGGTGCTCCTTTGTTATTACTTTATCATCATCATGATCTGTCATTGTTTCTCGCAGTGTTGGTGTGTTCCTTTTCGATTAGTGTTTCATGGGGGATTTCCTGATCTCTAAAGTTGGCTGATCTCGCGATGTTTGGTTTCATTAATGTCAGTCGCGTTTGAAGCTCTCTGCCTAAGAACAACTTTGCAGGTGTTTCTTGGGTTGTGGTTTGCGGAGTTGATCTATAACTGAGCAGAAACGTTGACAGCCTTTTTCGTAACGAACTATGCTGTGCTCTTGATGCTCTCATAGCCTGCTTAAAGGTTTGAACGAACCGTTCCACCAGGCCGTTTGTCCTTGGATGATACGGGGCAGAAGTTGTATGTCGAATGCCGTTGGCTTCCATAAACCGTTCTAATGTTTGTGCGATAAACTGCGGACCACTGTACCAACTGTTCTGGTAACCTATTCCTCGCAAATACACTCCTCAATATTTCAATTGTAGGAGAATATCCAACTGGAATTGAAGAAACTTGAAACTAGTTTCAGTAACGACCAGAGTTGTCGGGCGTAGTTGGGTGAGTTGAGCACAAATAAATGGGTTTGGAGACACTTGTAACACATCTACAGTATTGATTTATTCAAACTCTCATAATGTTGACGATGGTCAAAGTTAGTAATCACGAAGATAACTGCTCATAACTTATGATGGTTTCTGATAATGATGGTTTCAACTGTTAAGAAATATATCAGACATTCTTATAAATTGAGTTCTGGATGATTAAAGTGATTACATACAGCCTTAGCAAAGTTGTGATCTAAATAAAGGCTGTAACACTAATACGATAACTTCAATTATCTATTTACCCGTGCTCAATCAAGCGGAACGAGCACCGTGACCAGCTTCTACACATGGTTTACTTTCATGTACGATACCATATTGGCGATGGAACTTTTCAGAGTTTTCAAACAATATTTGAACTACATATTATCATACCAAACTAAGAAATTATGATTATACTGTACTAACACTATAACTACGTCTAGGAATTATCATTTAAATAACGATTACTATATTATCACTAATTTAACGAACGTTTTCAGGCCAAATTTAGAAATGAACAGGCAAATCTTCTCACGTATGTACAGTGGGCTCCACGCATCTTAGGCAACGTTCGGAGCCATGTCAACTTAAAAAAAAGATGATTTCTATATATGAACTTTATCTATAGGCCAAAAAAACATAACTAAAAAATATGACTGCTCAACCTACGTTTGTGTCTTGTCCAGGTCTACGCATAAGATTGAAATTTCAGTTTAGAAATCGATGGTTTTCTACACAAATGACAACAAAGTCGTGTACAACAAGTGCACATTGCTCAACTGTCTTATGGCAGGCCGGGTGCGTATTAATTAGTAATATATGGAAGGCAAACATCGCCAATAAAAAATTACTGCCAGCCGTAACAAGAACCTGTTGATCAGGTGACTGCCAGCTGACTGGCACTACAGTTATTATAAGCATACAGTGCTTGTCTTTCGTTAAAATGCAAGCAATTTTGTTTATTTGCAATAAATGAAGAGGATGTGCCAGGCTGTAAAATATCCCCCGCGAAAAATTTTATCCATCGCCGCATTTAAAAAAAATGTGGTGTGGTAAAGATATATCAATTATACACTTGATAACTGCATCAGCGGTTGTCAACAAAAGAGTTACAGCCATGGTTACAGCATGCACGCAAATATCGTACGCGGCGGATATACCCTACGCGGTTTTATTTACACGATCTTTTGTTACGTTTTTCGCCAGTGACGTCACGATTAAATCGTATAAAATGGCCTATAACTTCATAAAAAATTGCCAAAAAACGATTTTAAGGTTGATTCTATTATTAATGGTATATCAAAAATCCACTCTAGAACAAAAATTCATTTTGCTAGTTCTCTTTTAAAAGCTTGGTTTCTTAATCGCTATTGTATTTTCAGTGCAATCGTTGTGCTGCGTAGCATCCCGACAAAATCGGCGAGGCTCCCCGACTCGACCAACCAATCAGCCGAAAGCTGTCGGCTATTAGCGTGTAGCGATTGTATGAAAACAGAGGTTAAGATCGGCCCGGCTTCTGTAAAAAAGTTGGTACCGAGGACATAGAGAGTTACCCACCACCAGGAACCAGAGTATAGACCGCCCTCTTTGTCAATCCGTGATGGGGAAACACTGCATGCGTGTTCCTCTAAACAACAGTTATACAAATGGACCGGCACGATCTTGAAATATTAAATATCTGTAAAATTGTTCTTGTACATCGAATGTTGGTGTTTTTTGGATACATCAAGGAAAAGAAAACAACTTCTGTCTGTGGTCACGGTGTACGTTTTTTGTTTGATGATGGTATGTTTTGTTGGCAAATAGTTTTTGACCTTTTAAGCTTTTATTTAGTATTTCAATCAGTAAAATTATAGTTGTTTAGACTAAGCTAAGCCAATCTATGCCTAGGTAGACTTAGCGTAGCTTAAGCTTTCCTAGGGCAGGCAGGTCTAGGGAGGGTAGGGGCTAGGCTAGGCCTGGGCCTATCTATCCTCGCCTATTTTAATGGATGCCTACCTAGGCCTAGGCCTATCTAGAAAGTACAGGTCTAGGTAGAGTTCTAGGACTACTTTACTTCAGATTTTCTCCTGCTTGGCCTAGTCTAGGTTTATACTTGTATTGTTAAAGGAATTTTTCATGGCACTAACACGCTTTAAAGATATACATACTATAATACTAATAGTACAGTTAAGTCAAACACTCACGAATCGGGTCCTACTAAATACCACACGGGACCACTCGCGACCACACGGGTGCAAAAATGATAAAAATATTACCACACGAGAGTAGAAAACTACTTAATAATCAATAGAAACCAACTTTTAGTACGGTAATTATCCGAATTCCGTTAAAAATCGATGTATCTTGATTTTGATTTGTTGGTTTTTCCCGTCGTGTCTCGGTAATGTAATACGTTAATTGTGGATCTGTAACGCATTGACGTGTCAGCTGAAACGCATTCAACCATGACCTTCATGTCTGTGTTTCATATCATCAATCAAGATAGGCCGTTATATACTGCCATGTGAACAGTAATAAACCTATTTTACATAAAATGAAAATGAGAATTTGAATTATATATTGTTAGATTGATCGTTTATTTTTATTTTCTGTCAAACTCGTATACAGTATGTTTTTTTTTTCTTTTTCAGTGTAGGGCCTACATGAATGGAATAAAGAAGATTGCATTAATATAAAATTATATTATTAGAAGTGAATAAATACAGAACCCAACTTGTAGTATAGAATTAGCCTCAATTTGGTTACCAGTAGGGTGTGTGTGTGTGTATTTGTACTCATATTTATTTCAAAATTGGTCTGCCCTAGGTCTGGTTAATGCCCATAGTAATGAAAAAATATTTAGGATTAAATATTTAATTTTTCTTTTTTTTTTTTAATTACCTAAAAAATAGAAACATCCTCTGCTCTTCATTCTATGATTGGCTGATACATTACATATTTTTTTTCCCAATATGACATACTATTGACTTAATGGTGTGTATGCAATTGCAAAAGCAGTTGGCATATTGGATGTGGCTTGGACTCCCATTATTGAGGTCAGGGGTTCAAATCTCTCACTGTGCAAGTGGCTTGTGTCCTTGGGCAAAGCACTCAACATTTATCTGTCTCTCACTCTAAATGGGTACCTGTCTCTTATACACATCTAGATGTGTATAAGAGACAGGCTGTAGACAACGCAATACCGTCTGCTGATTGTCAGTGTTAATCTGAATGAATCCTCATTAAAAAGACTATCTGTTGGGTCCGCGTCTTCGCAGTGAGTAACCGGCTTTACCGTACCACTGGCTACGGTATTTTTCAATTGCTTATTTATAGGCCTACTAGGCCTGTTTTTTTTTTAATTTTGCCATATTCTTTTTTTTTTTCGTCTTTTATTTTCATCCTTTTTTTTTACGCCGTGGCTAGAGATACGGTACCGTATCGGAACTTCCAATTGCTAAAGGTACGGTACATTTACGTCATGATTAGCCAATAGAAATGACCGACACGATTTTGGCTTTTTTTGCCAAGTCGACGTCGCGATCATGAGAAAAAGCATGTGATATGAACAGTTACCATCAAATTTATGACATAAAACTTTTGGCCATTTAATGTATTTCGATTGGGGCTTATCACAATGTTTGGGTTAAAAATCCTTTCTGTTATTTTAGCGTATTTTATGATCTACCATAAAGAATGATCTACTAAGGCTAGGTTTAGGCCTAGGGCCTAGCCTGAATACCTAGGGGCCTATGCCTATAGAATAGTAGGCACTAGATATTATTGCTGATTAAAATAGCAAACAAAGCAATTTGGCGATTGTAATTATCAGTGGAAGTAAACTTAGGTAGTATTGGCCAACAGTGGTTAACTGTGAATAAAACTAAAGTTTCCTATCTGTCTTTATTGAAATTTGAACGTAAATCATGTTACCTTGGTTTAATTCAATATTTCGACATTGTTGTTGTTATCACAGAAGGATCAGTGTTTGGGTTTTATCAGGACCTGGTTTTATCATCATTCTATGGTGATGACACAACCATGGTGAAATATCAAATGATTATTTGTAGTAATATTTTTTTTAATTTTTGTTTCCTTACAGCAGAGTAAAGATGGGGCTTCTAGTCAAAATGAATGTACATTTTTTTTAATTTGTACTATAAAATAATAAATACAGCCAGTGTACATCAATCTGTATCATAGAATTAAAGAAGAATGAATATGAAGAATGATAATGTGTGTATTATTCATTTATTTCTTTAATTGTGTTTCCTTCAATTTTCTCGGTATGTTTTATCCAAATCTGGAAGCTGCAAGAAAAATGAATAAATTTATTGTATAAAAAGATAAGCAAGTAATTCAATTAAAATCAAAGATACATTTTATTGACCATAATTATTAAAATATATATATAGTATATGAAAACGCAACAAAGAGAACAGCATGAAGCACATACTAAATTCCATTGTTTCAATTATAAGGTCATGTTTCAATCATGAATATATCACTGTAAATGGAAGAAAGAGAATAAATTATGTTAGAAGGATAAAATGCTGTTAGTAAAAAGATAGCAAAATGGAAATGAAAATAAAATTAGGCCTATGATAAACCAATTGACGAACTAATTATAATAATTATAGGCCTATAATATAGGGCCTGGGCATATTAAATTTTGCGTTTTCGCAACTCCTTCGGTACTCCATATATTTGTTCAAAATCAACCGCGACTGAAATGAGGCGCGACCGAAATGATACCCCTGGGCCCTAGGCATAACTAGTTTAGGCATAGAATTAGACCAGCCTACTAGCTACTCTAGCTAGGTCCTCCGGCTTCGCTAGGTTTCAGCTAAGGCAGGGTAGCTAAGGCCTAGGCCTGGACTCTACTACTGTATTAAAATAGTTGATTCTCGATTGATGTCGCCAAATCTAGCAAAACTGCTATCCCTTTTTATTTGCTATAGTGCCTCGGGCTACAAAATATTAAAATCACAGCTTGTCAACAACAACAACATTTTTTTTATATATTCTGCATATTTCTAAGTTTGAGATTTACCTTGGCAATTTCTATTTAAATGATTTTTATATTCATTGAGTTTATTTATTTGATGTATGTGTTTACCTATTGACGTCGGTATTCCTAATGTGTTATTTTAATGCTATCTTTGCCGGTGTCTGTTCTAGTAGTCTGACTATGTGTCGTAGCCGGTTAAGTCTTCTTCTTTTAACTTAGAATTTGATTGCAGTTTCTTTTAATTTATTGTAAAGATCTGCATTACTCACTCTGTTCATTATATGCAGCATTCTTCATAATAAAAATGTTTGCTAGATTTATGCTTTCTTAAGTATTGTTTTTTGTTATAATATATTTAGTGTTTAATTTTAGCAATATTGCTATCATTTTTGTAGTCTACTTGTAGGCCTTACTACAGTAGCTAGGTCCTAGAGGCCTAGCCTACTAACCAGGTTATTTTTTCAGAGTAGGCTACAAAACTGGCTATGTATGTCTGGCTAAATGTGTCTGTGAATTTTATCCTTTCCTTTCTCATTCGAAAGAGTAGACTTGCACAAGAATAATATTTTTTTTTTGCCCTTTTGCAACAGCATACATCACTGATCACATACATGCCTGCCCTTTTTTCTGCCCCACTTTACTGTACCTGTAACAACAACGTTTTGTATTTTCAGACTTGAAGATGATAAAGAAAATGAATGTTTCCTCAGAAAACCTATTAATGTTGAAATTATGCCTAACTATTGCATGTTTTTTTGTGCAGGCCTGCTCCAGAACATCATCTGCTGACAAACCAGTTGATATCTCTAAAGAAGAGTGGATGGGGAGACTACAGGATGTACATATCAGTCGAACGGACATGAATAAGTTGATCATGAATTATTTAGTTACAGGTAAACCCTCAATCAATATATTGTTTATGAAATTTGTACTCATATTTATTTCAAAATTGGTCTGCCCTAGGTCTGGTTAATGCCCATAGTAATGAAAAAATATTTAGGATTAAATATTTAATTTTTCTTTTTTTTTTTTAATTACCTAAAAAATAGAAACATCCTCTGCTCTTCATTCTATGATTGGCTGATACATTACATATTTTTTTTCCCAATATGACATACTATTGACTTAATGGTGTGTATGCAATTGCAAAAGCAGTTGGCATATTGGATGTGGCTTGGACTCCCATTATTGAGGTCAGGGGTTCAAATCTCTCACTGTGCAAGTGGCTTGTGTCCTTGGGCAAAGCACTCAACATTTATCTGTCTCTCACTCTAAATGGGTACTTGGTAGGATGTTTTGGCATTGAATTTACTTAGTTTCGTGAACTGTATAGGATACTGTACGCATTTCAGGGAGCAGGGAATTGTTGCACTTTGTTGTAGTTTGCCATTGCAAAGTATCCATTCAGTGGCGTATGTGGGAAATGGAGGTCTGATACAGAGATGGTCGTATGCAGGGCGGAGGAGGTGGGAGAGACCACCCAGCCTTGACGTCTTGCGCCCATCCTAAAGCCATTTTTAAGGTCTTCCACCCAGCCTCATCCAAACCCTCCACACTAAAGTTTTTTCCCAATTAATAGTTATTAATAACGCGACAATGGATTCTCGCACCAGTCAGAATGTAGTTCGCCAGGCGCTTGCTTCGCTGTGCCTTAAATACACAGTCACGAGATTCGTAGCTTGGCATGAGAGCAATGTAGTTTGTATGAAAACACGAGTTGTCTTTCTGCAAATTGGTACAGGCAGTCTAGGGTGTAGCCGTAAATGCCCGGACTTGTTAAACTAACGATGCCTAGACTATTGTCTTTACTATATGGAAGTACTTTACCTTAAATAATAAAGATTGCAAGCCCAGGCACACCTCTAGCAGGAGTAATCAATGCAGATTGTATTGTACAGTGAACCATGGACGGTTTTTACGTATTCCAGGGAAAAGTTCATGACCGCCAAGTACGTAAAAACAGGGATTCCCATACTGGGAACGGAACGGCCGCTAAATATTGGCATCTATCACAAGCACGCACTGCCCTGGCCAAAAACCGTGAAACACCCATGGGGTACCCGTCATACTTGAAATTCGACACAATTTTCCTAGTGGGGTAAGCTGGAAATTATCTGTCATGCAACGTACTATTGACATATAGCCAGGCCAGTTAAAAAAATTTTATGTCAAAGGTTAAGACCGTTTTCTACGAATTTCGTTTTAGAACAGCATGCTCAGTCTGGTAAGCCTACTGGTGGTTAATTAACAGTTTAAAATGTTAGCCGGATTAATTTCCTCTGACTAAATAAAGCCTTGCGTGGAGGCATCAACTACTACTGTTTCCCTATTGAATGTCCCAGAGGGCTGCGAAATGCGGGGACAGCTTGGTAGAATTGACGTGTAAAAGTAGGGCGTAGCTGTACGAGCGATGTTTGTTTCCCACGATATAGCCACTGTAACCATGGATCTTACTATTCTTATTTGTTTTGCTTTCAGTGAAGCAAAACACGTGAGCAAGTCGATGTTAATTTGCATTCAGGCTGTAAATGGGGAAATCCTAGCTTATTATCGGGCGATCGTTACCGTCGCCCACCACCAGTCATAGATATTTTGAACTAGTGAAAATCAACAAGATATGTTAAATAATAAAGGATAGGGGATACATGTGAAATTGTTTCCATAATTTTGTTAGTTTAATTTATGGAGTAATTTGATTAGCAAATAAAATACAGTACAATAAGTGCATAATCTCGGCATTAGATTTATTTATTTATTCAACGGAAGAAAAGTAGACGTTATTTGATTACATGATGATGGCCAATGTTACAAAGGCTAGTAGTCCTTGTCTTTAAAAATAAATTATTGTTTTTGTTTCCTTGATTAAAATTATATTACTTGCATGAATATCCCTCTTATCCTGGAATAAAGAATAGTAGTTATGTTGCATAGGCTAGTATTCGTCCTTGACTTTAAAAAAAATAGGTACGTACATATTTTTATAAGCAATCAAAACTAAGTAAATTGTTAAGTTACATTACCCAAGTTGAACATTTTGAATCCCAGTGCGTCGAAGGCTTTTCCCCCTCTGAATCCCATCCCCCCCCCCATTCGGTTCTTCGGCCCTCACTCGGTAGGCGCTTCGCACCAAAGTACACACACGTTCATGCCAAACCCATCCTAAAAATTCTAACACCCACCCTCAGTTTTCAATAGCTACATCTCTAGCTGATAGGGTGGCGAAGGTGAAGTTGGTGGGGGGCCTCAATAATTAGAAGAGGGATGCTAGCTCGCAAAATAAGGTGATTTTAGGTGATTCTTAACTACTTGAGCTGTGATTTTTTTTTTTTCTTTCGGGGGGTGGGGGTGGCTTTGTTAAAAAGAAGTTGTCTAAAAGGTCTGTAACTTTTGAATTGCATTCTCATTTTAGAGGGTTTTAAAGAGGCTGCTGAAAAATTCTGCATGGAGTCTGGAACTCAAATCAATTCAGAGCTGAACAGTTTAGGTGAACGTATACACATTAGAGAAGCTATCCAAGATGGAAGAATAGAGGTTGCTATTGGTATGGTTAACAGTCTGCATCCAGACCTTCTAGATAATGATAAATACCTCTTCTTCCATTTACAGGTAAGTGTTGTGTGTTTTATTATTGTGATTCCTAGGTTTTACTTTTCAGTTATAATTACAGTATGTGATCATTTTGTTATTTTGATAACTCACTTTTTATGCAATATTTTATATTCGGTAATTAAAATATTGCATAAAAAGTGAGTTATTTTGATAACTCACTTTTTATGCAATATTTTAATTACCGAATATACTCGCTCATTAAACGAGGCTTAAAATAGCAAAGTGCGATTGAAAAACCGGGGTCGTCTTTTATATGCACAACATACAAATTTTAGATTTATTAAATCATGTTCATGTTATGTGCCAAACGTCCGTAACACACAAATTTACTACTGCAATGATTTGATTTATTTCAAAATTCTCACAACTAAACAGAGTACAAAATTAAACGAATTAAACAACAATAAGAGAATTTCAGGATAACCCTTTAAGCATTTCTGCTTGCTTCCGAAGGGGTCCTGTTACAATAATAATAAACGCAACAATGACATATAACAAAAAGAAGGCCATGGCCTAAAATAAGCAACAATTGCAAACAAATACCATACTAAAAAATTTAAACAATTAGCTTGGAAAGAGAATTATAAATAAATAATAAGGTAAGACAAAGATTTAGATATGTAAATAATATCATCAATTAGTATTACATTTAATTTTATTATTATTTTACAATACCTTATTATTTATGAAATTTAAAAGGTATTATTCAATTCAAGAATATAAAAATTCAGTGATACAAAAATAGAATATGGATCATTCCGTGTCAAATCAACCAGATTTCAAAAAAGTTCCAGTATGACCCTCTCAGATTTTGATGAAACTCCATAAAAATGATCCACTATGTGAAAAACCAACACTTTAAAAAAATTAGTGTTATAGGTTTTGTAGTTTCTGAGATATTGACTCCTCAAAAAAGGGGCGTGGTACTTCAAGATGCGCAAATGCAATTTCCTCCAATTTTGGAAGCTTATAACTTGGGATTGGTAATAGCTATCAAGGTCAAACTTGGTATTCTAACTTGTATTCCACCATATTACACAAATATGACAGATTAACTGTTATCCCTTCTCTTTTTAAGTTATCTGCACTCAAAGTAGCCACTTCAATTCAGCCCATGAATCCCATGTCGCGTAGACCAAATGTGGGCCCAAGTTATAATATTTTCCAGCTAACCGTAATAAAATAGCATTTTAAACTAGATTTATGAATTAAATATTTAAACTATAATAGAAAATGTCACCGAAAATTAGTAGACTTACCTGCCTAATGCAGTACAAATGTGCATTTCTATGAAACATGTCTTCCTGGCTTGACGGACTGTGCATGTGTATGAAATAAACAAGTGTATCCCAACCGGTTTAATCGTAATGAACTTCTCTAAACCTGTTAATGTTTGATTGCACTCTTTAGCAACAACATTTGATTGAGCTGATCAGGCAAAGAAGTTTAGAAAGTGCTCTTGACTATGCCCAAGTACATTTGGCTGAAAGAGGAGAAGAGAACAAGGATATTTTACCTGAACTTGAAAGAACATTAGCTTTGCTTGCATTTGAGGACCCTGAAAATTCACCATTTAGAGACCTCCTTCACCTGTCACAAAGACAAAAGGTAAATCTTTTCAAATCCTTAAAATGTTACAGTAAATTAATATTACAGTAAATAAGCACAATTTGCCCTTGTCGTGATGTGCCTGTATATGATCATTATGTGAAGTCATCACAAAGGCATGACACATGTTTTTGTCAAATAAAATTTGATAGTTTTTGTTGTAAATTCATCTCGAGCAGAACATGCTTCTTGATATTTTTTGGTGGTCCGCTTCACAGCGAATCACCTCTTGTTATTGTCAGAGATCTTTATTTTTTAATTCTACATTTCTCCCCAATTTTTATTTGTCAAAAATTGACTCCCGTGCCCTAAATTTGAGGGGTCAAATAACTACATAGATAGTTAGCAATGGAAATGGAACTTATAACTGAAAGATATGTATTTTGGCCATATACTGTATGGTAGAAATATTACAAATAGAAATGATTAAAATTATAAAAAGTTTTATTCTACATGTATTATTCAAACTTGATAAAGCATTCGGTAATATTTTTAAATAGATTTAATATTCTTATCTTATACCTGTATTAATGATGGCCTCGCCAGAGAGTGCAGTATTTTTAGATAATGTAGGCTTGTGTCAAGATTGTAGCTTACCTAATTTTTGGTGAATGAAAGTAATGGTTATGGTTAATGGTTATTAATTTATAGAGCGCAAAATACAAAAAGTCTCTAAGCGCTATCAGGCAAGTGTAAAGATGGAACGGAAACCAAAACCACAAAATAAAAAGAAGTGAAATTTGAATACCATGCCAGCACCCAAACCGAAGTATGGGGATACGCCCTCATCGCTGGCTAGGGTTCAATCTAATTGAACTACAGTCAGCACCTGTTGAGTCTCGGCCATCTCGGATTCGGGCGCCTCCTATCCTAGTTAAGGCTATAAAAGCTAGCTGGCATGGAAATAGGAAAAAAAATAAATAAATTAAAGGGACGAGAATAAGTGGGTCTTAAGTCGTTCTTTGAAAATGGTGACAGAAGGTGACTCACGAATAAATAAAGGTAACAAGTTCCACAACTTGGGCCCAGCAACCATAAACGATCGCTCCCCACAAGACTTTAACCGAAAGGATGGACAATAAAGATTGGTTGAGTCAGTTGTTGACCGGAGGGAACGAGTGCAAGTTGCAGAACGAACCTTAATTAATTCGGAAATGTATGGGCAAAACTGAGCCTAAGTAGCAATTTTCAGCTTTCTAGTATGTCCAGAATGAAAATATTGCCTTTCAAAAACCCTAACAAGATATCGCTGCTCTTCGCGAGTCTGAAAAGGGGAGTGTTTTCAAAATTAAAAAGTACCCTAACTTCGGAATGCTTGGGAATTTTTCAATGAAACTTTGGAATTTTTCATAATACCCCACAAAGTATACTTGGTTAAATTTTCAGCAAAATCCAAGATGGTCACAGTGGAAACCTTCTGGAAATTGGTTAAGTTGGCATGGAATGACTCTTTATGGTATTTAATTCAAAATTGATCTTTTCCTCTAACAGGTAGCAAGTGAATTGAATGCAGCAATATTAGAAATTGAAAACAAAGAGTCATCACCACAGCTGGCGAAGCTTCTCAAACTACTGCTGTGGTCACAAGAACAACTGGATTCAAAGAAAGCCAAGTATCCACGCATGAAAGACCTCGCTAATGGTGAAATTAAAGAATCTAAGTGATGATATACTGCACCGCTATGGAGAAAAAATGGAGAAGTCCTTGTTTGGCTCCAGCTGTATGCATAAACCTGGTGAATGTTTTCTAAAAACACTATGAAGAATAATTTAAAGATTTTTGTATTCTAAGCCTTGTTTTTTTAATGACTAGGAAAAAAAGTGCATACCGTTTGTATTGGGCAGGGCCCATTTAAATAATGATACATTTAAAATTGGCCGCACATTGGAAAATTTAGCTTAGGTACTAGCATGCCAAAAGCTTAGCAGACATGCTTTTACCTCAAGCGTGATAGAACTTTTGAACTCTTTCCTCAAATACGTGCATATGAGTAGTTATGAACTGTTGTCTCAAATACATGCACACAGTACAAGTTTGGCCAAAAATTTCATATGCTATAAAAATGTAGCTAAGCTCCCTACTTCATAAGGTAGAATCCTCATACTGTATGAAAGCGTGTGCAGGTGTTTAGGTTCAGGTTAGCTGTTTGCATACTTAAGGCTGATATCTCGGGTATATTATCTTGTGTGCCACAGGCTTTAGTGCCAGGTGCCACATTAATTTCATATAACCCTTCTTATGTGCACAGCTGATTATTTCACCTATTAAAATAACTATTAGAAATATATGTTGTGTTTTCCTGGTCAACCCTTCCCTACTCCCCAGATGGGGGTATTGTAACTGTTTCAGGCCAGGTTTCCAGGGGCCCAGACAAGATTTCAAGATTTATATATACTAGTATATTTTTATTAATGTATTCTGATGTCAAAATGGTGTATTAAATCCCAATGACAGCAAACTAATAGAGAATATTCATATGGAATATATGATATATAATGTTGTCATAGTTACTGTTTATCAAGACAAGATACTGTATGCACTACAGGTCTCCCTCTAATTAAAGACCCCTCCAGTTAAAGACCACTTTCAATAAAGACCACTTTTCTGTGGTCCCGTTTGAATTCATATTTTTTAACATATATATATATATTTGGGTATATTTTATTGAGATAAAAAACATCGAAAACACAATCTTTGGCAGCATTAAGCTGAATTGTAGATTGGGTAATTACAATAAAATCTATAAAATTTGTGATAAGACTAATAAATGTACAGTATATAAAAATATGACACAGTCAAAAAACACTAAAAATACAAAGAATAAAAAACAATTTTACATCACACTTTACTCCTGAGCTATATATAATATCCAGATTATTCAGACTGGGGGGTTCATCCGCCACAGGACCTCACAATGAATTGAGAATTCGTACCATGTAAGGTATCGGGCTATTTTTGTATCAGGATTTAGTACATTTGTATTCACTATATTGTTTTTTATTTCGTAATGACATATTATGTGTAGTATTGTTAATTTGGAACCAGTGCTTAAATTTTTCCGAATTTGCAGTTTTCTTTGCAAATGTTTTGCAAAGTGAGGTCCTGTGGTCAGACAAACCCTCCAGTCCAAGAGTTAGTAGCGCATCCTCATAATTAAAAAAATTATCGGCAAGGATAATATGGCATACGCGCCTTTGAACGCGCTCTATGGATGTGCTTTGTTGTTTAGTGAGGCCAGAGTGCCACAACGGTGCAGCATACTCAAGAACCGGCCATTAGGAGTTCCCTCAAGTTAGAGACAAAAACAAATGGTTTTGGTCGACCTGAATGAAAATTTTCCCTTCAATTACAGACCACTATAAACTAAATAGTGATGTTAATGTTATTTTTTCTGTAATAAATTTTGTTATAAGGGTTAAGGCGTAGTATAAGATGGTGTTTGTGTATAATATTAGTGGTGTGAATAATAGTTTAATGAAAAGTTGCTTAGAACTAGTACAGGAATTGTAAAATCCTTTATTGAGAATAAAAAATTAAGATAGAAACAGTTCTCTTATCATTGGTTTTAATTATTGAATTAACTGGATAACCGCATTGTGACCTTATAAAACAGTTGCATAATTGATACTAAGCTGGCGTAATTAGGACATTCAAACTTAAACTTATCATATTGAATACCCAGAAATGGTACTTTATGAATCAATAATTAAGACCAAAGCTGCTAAAGCCCACCAAAACCCTGGTTCCAAAATGGTTTTTAATTGGAGGAAAACCTGTATTTGATTTTGTCTGCCAGACTCAACAAAATTTGAACAGACATACAATGTGTTTGATCAGATACATCAAAATTCAGGCATACAGCTTCAATGCTACATAATACAGTATCTATGTTGTGTGGTTATTTGTTTATTGTTCATTATTTTATTAGTTTAGATAATCAGCCATATAAAATGTAAAAACATGTGAACAATGTTCAAGATGTCTAGATTGTGTATAATTTCCACAGTTTTTTTAAAAGTTAATACAGTACAGTATTGTTAAATAACTATTTATGAAGCAAATATAAAAATACATATTAAATCTGAATATTTGATTTGTATCTTCTGTCGTTAAAGGAAATAACTAGAATGTGTATGTTTCAAGAAGTACTGCAATACATTAATTATGGGTGAATAAGTTTGTATGAAAAGAAGTGTCTGGCGGGATTCGAACCTGAGACCTCTCACTACAAGGCGAGTATCATACCATAGAATACAGAGACTTACGGTATACGCGCAGATCTAACCCCCTTTCAGTCATACAACTGACTGAAAGAACAACACATAGTGTAGCTACATTTAACCAGAAAATCTTATAGTATAGATTGCAGCTTGGAAATCATAGTAAATGTGATATAATATATGTATGTATGTATGTAACCCACGTTTACGGTTCGATCGTACAAAGTAATGAAAGAAACAATACACAAAAAAACTATATTCAACTATAAGCCAGCCAGCGTCTTTATTGCTATATACAGTATGCTAAACTATTAAGACTATATTTATATATATAAATATATAAATATATATATATATATATATATATATTTACCTTTCTTTGATGATTTATTTATAATTTAACATTGTTAACGGCTATCTTGA